CAAATTAAAAAGCTTCTGAAAAGCAAAGGAAATGATTAAGAGAGGGAAGAGAGAGCTCTAGAGAATGGGAAAAATGTTTGCCAGTTGTTCCTCTGCCAGGGGATTAATACTAAGAATATATAAAGAACTTAAAAAACTAAATGATGAAAACAAAAAACAAAACAGATAGTTCAATAAATAAATGGGCAAAAGAAGTAAACAAATATCTCAAAAAGAAGAAATACAAGTGACCATGAAATATATGAAAAAGTGTCCAGCAGCACTAGCAACTACGAAAATGCAAATCAAAACTACACTAAAGTTTCATCCCATTCCAGTTAGAATGACAGTTATCAAGAACACAAATAATAAATGGCTGGCAAGGATCTGGGGAAATAGGTGGGGATGCAAAATTGTGTAACCACTCGGGAAAGCAGTGTGGAGATTTCTAAAATACTAGGAATGGAACCACCCTATGACCCACCTCTTCTACTCCTCAGTTATTTATTAAAAAGATATAAAATTAGCATACTGTAGCTATACAGCCACTTCAGTGTTTATTGCATCGCAATTCATAGTGGGCAAAACACAGAATCAAATCAGATATCCTTCAATAGATGAACAGATTACGAAAATGTGGCGTATACACACAATGGAGTTACACTCAGCCATAAAGAAGAATGAAATAATAGCATTTGCTGGTAAATGGATGCAATAGGAGAAAATCATGCTAAGTAAAATAAGCCATACTCAGATAATCAAGGTTCAAATGTTTTCTCTCATAAGTGGAAGTTAGAGCAAAATAAGGAAATAAGGCCATTGGAAAGAAGATTGGATATCATAAGCATACAGGGAAGATCAGTGGAGTAGGAGGAGGACAAGGAGAATGAGGGAGGAAGGAAGGGAGCTGAAGCTGGAGTTTTAAGAAGCTAGATTCTCCTCTGCTGGTGTATGCCTAAGCTGCAGGCCCCTGAAGCCCACAAACATGCTTCATGGTGGGCTTAGCCCTCCTGTGTTGCAGCAGAACCCAGCAGCTTACCACCAATTTCTTCTTCTTGGTCTTTTCTCATGTATTCCAAGAATAAAATCCAGAGACCACGATAAGTGGAGGCAAGAATAGGATTACTCAAGTGTGCATAGAAACTGATCTCCTCTAGGGAGAGAGGTGACCTGACATGGGTTGCCCTCTAAGAGTGCTAGAAGAGTTTTATATAACACCTTAGTCCATGCTATTGGTCCAAACCTATGCTACTCAGAGTTTGGAAAAGTACTAATACTATTGATTGGCCCTGCAATCCCATTCGGGTCTAACTTTTTTCCATTTTCTCCCTACATTGGAGAAAGCAGGAGGTTGAGGTCTGGAGTCAGGAATGAGCTGGGGCCGGGGGCGGGGGGGGGGGGGGCGCATCTGGAGCTGCAGTGCTGAATGGAGCTTGTGTGTACAGTGGGCTAGTCCTAGTCTCAGTGGGACAACAGGTGGGTGGTCCTAGCTCACCTTGGCACTGGATTGTCCTGCCTCAAGAGAGCCATTGCTCTCTGCCTGAGCTCCATCCACCATGGCCACCATTCTGTATCTGCTTCACTCTGCTGCCACCTCTCACCAGGGAACATGGCTGCATGGCTTGGTGGCCAAGCCATGTCAGAAATGAGATGAAAAAGGAAATGAATTCAACCCAATATTGCTATATTCACATATAAAGGGAACAAATAAGAATAAGTTTTATGTGTATGTAGAAGAAAGGAAGTTTAGTAGAGTAGAGGAGGATGAAAACGGGGTGAGGGGAAGGGAGGGAAAAGGATGGGGTATCGAAAGCAAATTTCTTGCATGTTTGATTTTGTCAAAATGAAACCAGATACTATGTCTAGTTATAATGCTCTAACAAAGGAAAACAAAAAGCTGAATTGTCTCTTCCTTCTCTTTGCCCAGTAGCCTTAGCTATTGAATCATTATGGCCCTCTGAGTTGCCTCTTTGATTTTACTCCAGTGGTCTTTTTTCTTTGTAGTGGGAAGGCAATTAGCACAATGTCTTTACCCCTGTGCAGGACAAGAGAAAGTGGTCTGCTTCCATCCTGAAAGAAGCAAAGCAGGCTTGTCCTAAAGACATGCAGAATGACCGAGCTCTTGGACAAATTGGTGGCTGTTCACTCCATCCTTGTTCTTTGATGAATTTTTTGCATCAGTGAATTTTATAACCAACCTTTTTCACCTAGGTGAGGCACTTAGAAATGGAAGCCCAGAAACGCCAGCCAACTTCTTGCCATTTTCTACAGTCCCAGGTTTCTGCTTGGTACCATGCCAACGTTCCCCCAGAGGTCTAGAATCCCAGCAGTACCCTCTGCTGTGGGGCCCCTTTCATCCTTCCTCTCCCTGGTCTCCCTGATGACCAATGCACAAAAGAACTATGACAAGACATGCTGCTGCCACCTTGTCACAAACATAAGTACAGATTTTCAAAATACTGCCTACCAGTGGTGCAGGGAAGGATACCAAAAAAAAAAAGGTCAGAAAATCAGTAGAGGGTGATGTGCCATTTTCCATAACCAGAGAGCACATCTATCATAACCAGGATCTTAAAGATCACAGTGTTCATGACACTGCCCAGGAAGGACAAGACTCTCTTCAAATGTGATACTTCACTTTCATAAATCTCAGTGGAAAATAAAAGGGATACAGCAGACTGCAAATTCTAAAATATTAGTGAATGTGTGGGGTTTTGCAACATGGCAGAAGAATCACTCAGGGTTTCCTGAGAGATTTAATTTAAGTGATGTAACATCAAGCCCTCTTAAAAGTTCCTGATTGCCCTTAAATGTATCCCATGTGTGCCATGGTCTTCAGTTATACAAGAATCAGCAAAGAGGAGGGTGAATGTGAATCTTAAATCAGTTAATCATGCTAAACTGTTGAAAAGAGGGAAGCCTGAGAAGGTTTCAGGACAGCTTTTACCAACAACCATTTCAAAGAGAGGAAAGAGGATTGGGTAACTAAGGGACAGGTGTAAGAGTGTCAGGGAGGTGACACTTCTGCTGAAACCAGAATGACAAGGGGGAGCAGCCATGATCAATTAGGGAAGAAATGCCATGAGGAAGACTGAGCAGTGCAGAGACTGGAGTGGGGAAGTGCCTTTGGTGTGGTGGGACATTGGAAAAGAGACCAGTGTGGCTTTGGAGAGACTGGGCCAAGATGGGAGGAGAAGAGAGACCCAGGGCCTAGTCTCCAAACTAGTTGTCCAGTGCTGTGGGTTAGCATCCCACTGCTGATAGCCACAGAGAGTGATGATGTCACAGTTTCTGAGCACCGGAGATTCAGACCAGCTCAGCTACTGCCTGTGTATCTAGGTCTGTTAGGAGCCTGGGTCTCTGGTCTTCAGGAGGCACATCCAAAAGGATCTGCCTCTGAGATCATTCCTGTCTTTTTGGCAGAATCCAATGTGACTGAGCCTTCTTAACCCTCTGTTGGTCAAGAAACTTAGGTATGGATGCCCCTGGGGCTGTCCACAGGGCTGCTTGGAATGTCTCAGCTTCATTTCCTACGAGGAGACAGAAATGAGACTTCCCATAACTCAACCTTTGGGTACTTTCCCTTGACCCTTGCTAATTTCTATTCTTAGAAGCCAGAGGCAGGTTTGTATCCACCTAGAGAGCAGAGGACTACAGGCCTTGGGCTCCAGGATGCTGTGTTTGTTAGGAGCTCCCATGGCATGAAGACCTCCTACACTGAGAAGAGGCATTTGAGACATGTCTAAAGCTCACAGGAAGCCACTAGAAGGTCTATGACAGAGGGAGAATCTGAAAATCAGTCACTCCAACTGGTGCAGAGTGGAAGGCCAAGAGGAAAGGGACCTTCCCTGTCTCACTGAGGGACTCAGATCTAGGTAGAGTTGCATGACATCCTTTGTCTCCCCGCACCCCAGTTGTGACTATGTCATCTGTATATTTGTTAATTATCATCCTGTGACTCTCCCATTTCACAGGTTAATATACGTATGTATAGACCCATACACCTGATGACAATCTGAAAATCAGATGCTAGCATGGTCCCTGAGAAACATTTTAGGAAGGTAGGAAGACCCTGCAAGGTTCAGTGAACTTCTTCAGGATCACACACACAGCAAAAAGGAGAGGAGGGGTCTGAACCTATCTCCGTCTCCCTACGCCTGGGAGGCTGGCTCTACCCAGATCTTTATTGAAACCTGAGCTAGAGTGTGTTAGTATAATTGTATCCACTTGTGCATGTGTCACAGGGAGAAAGGAGATTCTTAGATGGCACCTATTTTGTGAGAAAGTGCTTCAGGTAAGGGGACCCCAAGGAAGTGAGGTCACTTCCTTGACAATGGAACAAACAGAACTTGGAACCCTGATAGCCAGGCACCCACAGTCCAGTACAGCCCCAGTTGGCTCACTTATATGGAGACAGTTAAGCTCAGAGCCATGGTTCCTGCCTACCAATCTGTACCTTCTCAGGACTCAGGAAAGCCCTGAGTAGGGGCCTTTCCCAAGTGTGGAGGCACTGGGTCAGTGTTTGATCCCATTGCCTCTGGGGTTCCTTTTTTTTCAGGGAACCCAGGAATGAGACAGAGCAGCCCACAGCAGGTGAGCTTAGGCTAGCCCACCACTCTGATTCCCCATTGAATATCCCCAGACCTCACAACCATGTGTGTGTGCGTGGGTGGGTGTGAGAGAGAGAGAGACAAAGAGAGTGTGTGTGTGTGTGTGAGAGAGAGAGAGAGAAAGAGTGTGTATATGTGTGTGTGAGAGAGAGTGTGTGTGTGAGAGAGAGAAAGTGTGTGTATGTGTGTGTGAGAGAGAGTGTGTATGTATGTATGTATGTATGTGTGTGTGTGAGAGAGAGAGAGAGAGAGAGAGAGAGTGTGTGTGTGTGAGAGAGAGAGAGAGAGAGAGATCCCTGAGAATAAGGAGGAAAATTCTTTTGATTTCATTTGATTGTATGGCAGTTAATCATTTTGCAATTTGCTACTGATTCCATGTTGAAATGTCCCTTTTTTGGTTCCCCATATTAGGACGAACATAACAGAGTTGCACCAGTGAATCTGTCCAGCCTGGTAGAAACACTCAAGGCATTTGTTCTGGAGGACATCATTAGTCATCTGGTGATCACCTGCAAAGAGGCAACACCACCTTTGTCCACGAATTTTTGCGCAACTACCAATATTCGACTAATACACAGATGTCGATGGAGCTGCTGTGTAAAAAGTACATACCACCTCCAAGCCCAGGGACGTGACCATCTCCAGGCTTGGTGCTGGGAATACCGGACATCACTCTGAGCCTCAGTCAGCTCTGCAGAAAGTAGGATTTTCAGAGGAGAACCCTGCTGGGTGCTTAGAGGACCATGTAGGATGAGCCCCAGGAGTGTTTGCCTCAGACCTGGTCTTGTGAAGCAGCCTGCCAAGGGCTCCGAGCTTCTCCTATGGGCCGGTCCTTTGAGGAAGTTTTCTGCCTCAGGCCTCACTCCTCTGAGGCCTCAGGAAAAACAGCTTCCACATTTGGAAAGGAGTATGTGGATTGCATCCAGCAAGGTCCTTGATCTCCATGTAGCCAGAAGAAGGACCCCTGGGATGGACTGAGGGGACCCAGGCATTGAGATAGATAGGCAGTAGGTGGTTGGGTTCATTCATGGCTCCAATGTATGTGAAGCAGAGGCCTATCATTCAGGAAGTAGTGCAGACAAACCAGCCCTCATGAGCTTCCATTACTATCAGGAAGTTATTCAATTCCACCAGGCATCTAGGAAGGTAAGGGGCATGAGATGAAACAGGTGACACCTCTCGGCCTTTTCTAGGTATGAAAATCTCCAGGAAGATGCTGAGGAGTACTTTCAAGTAAAGAAGTGAATGGTCTTTGGGCCAAGAGGGAGGGTTCCTTTCTCCAGATGGGGGCACACAGGAGGCTGGTGTAAAAGATGCTGGGCAAACTCCAGGTCCCACACTTGTGTGATTCCCAGCCCAGGGCTAAGGTATGTGGCTTTGCCTACAGAAGGAATACAGAGAGGTGTGGAGGGGTATCAGGTACCCAAGGAGCAGAGGAGTGGCTGAGGCCTCAGAGCCAGTCCCTGTGAGGATCCCTTCCCAGCACAGCCAATCCCAGCCATGGTTGCCCACACTTTCCTATACAGAGACTAGACAGAAGTTGGAGAACCACCTAGACACACATGTCCCTCATAGAATTGCCCTCCTTGCCCAGCTGCATGTGGACCGCTTGGCACTCTTTGGGAAGCCCATCATGAAGGGGTCCTTGGGAGGTTCTAGCTAAAGGACAGGCTCAATTCCTGATGGCTGCCTGCCTCACTCCAAACTCCACAGCACCCTGTGCTCTGTCAAACAAACATTAATATAGATAGGTAGATATATAATCTCCAGAAGGTGTTTTGGGGTCCCCTGACATGGACACCCTGAAGCATCTCAGGACCTTCCTGCAGCTCACAGTGCCTTCATCAGGGCTGACCCTCCACATCCTCAGACTCCTTATGCAGCAGGAGGACCCAGATCCCAGTGAGTCTGAGCCCTGTGATGAGAATCTGGGGTTGATCAAATGTGTGAGGAAGACTTGTGCTGTTCCTACCAGGAACTTGTATTTAGTTCCAAGCCAGACGAGCCTGGTGGACCCTCGTCTATCTAGGAAGACCTCTATTGTGGGGACAGGAGCTGGTTTATTCTCAGGGTCAGGGTTCTTGCATGAATTGGGAAAGCCCAGGGAAAAGGCAGTCATGTTGGGGGTCTTGTCTTCTATAGCTCCAGTGCCACCTCAAGTTATAGGAATGCCTCCGGCAGAAGAGCTCCAATTTCCATCCTTACCCTTGGGGCAGCTCACAGCCACACCTGCTGAGCTGGAGGAAGATCAATCATCAAAACTGGAAGACACATCAACTATAGCAACATCAACAGAGGGAGAAGTTAGAGCCTCCAGCGGCCACCATGACATCTCAGCTGTCAGCAACCAAGCTGGAGGATATTGAACCATGTTTTCCAGTTGCTGTGGATAGTGAAACCTGTGTCTACATCTCTTGAAACAGAGTCACCTCCCTCTGTGGTAGCAGAAATTACAGACACCAAAAAGCTAGAGGTAGAAGATTCAGTAATTTTCCAAAGTATACCAGCTACTGAATAAGCCTCCCCTCATGCCCAATAGTCAAGGCAAAACCCCCTCCACTTCTTTCCCAACTCCACCCCCCGAAATAAAAGACATATTTTTAAAATTTTCACAGCCATCAATAGGTTTCTGTGACAGTGACTAGCACTCACACAGCAAGGTCTGAAAGTGCTATTTCCCCACATCTTTGACAGCACCAGGTGTCATAAGAGATAGAGGTCTATGCATCTGATGATAGAGTGCTCCTTTCAATCAGCCAAGTCCACATCCACTCACAAGGTTGACAAGGCTTCATGTTCATTGCCTACATTTCCTCCTGTTTAAATTTCTAATCACTTTACTCGGCTGCAGTAGACAGGGAGGACCCCACCCCTGGCCTGGTGATCTTGCCCCTACCCTTTCACTTCTAGCCCCCAGGCCTCCAACCTTGCCTGTGAAGACAACTCTATTCAAAGGCTAGTGAAACATTCTCCTGATTTTTGCAACTTTCATAGTTAAAAACATTCGGAGCTTTAATTTTTCTGAAATTCGTGCTCACTGATAGCATTTTCCAAAGCAGACCAGCTACTGAATAAGCCTCCCCTCATGCCCACGCATGCACTTTGGACCTCTTCTGGGAGTGAGGCCACTGTCCCCATCTGGGGTCACTAGAAGGATTAGTATCTCCAAGACCAGTCAAGTCCTTCCTCACTAATATTCCTTTTTAGAAATGTACTGGCTACTCTCAGAACTTTTCTCTTTCTATAAGTTATTGCTTCCAAGCCCAACTTTCAGAAAAACATCAGCCATTTGTGCTTAGACTGGGCTGCAGTATGTTCATACACTGATTTGGAAATCAGCTTTATGTTAAGTTTTTCCACTATTATACATTAGTTATATTAGTGTTTTGGTTATTTCTTCCAAATAGATTTTATGATTCTAATATAGGTTCTGTGTCTTTCTTGCAAATCTATGAATAAGCATTTGACTGATGATTTTTTGGGAGGAGTGAGATATTTTTCATACTTTAAAAGAGAAAGCTATTGATTATTGCATGTTTGCCTTCTTTGTATCTATGAAACCAAAAACTCTAATAATAAGCAGTCACCTGGTTTCCAGGTTTATAAGATGATGCCACCTATGAACAAAGGGACAGGACTTCTGCTCCATCGCTGTGGCCACCAAAGCAGCGTGTAGGCAGTGGGCACAGTGAGCTTGCCTTCCCCCCTAGGATGGGAGCAGCAGGCCAGTTGTGCACTCAGTGTGTATCTGTTCTGAGTTTTAGCCAATGGGCTTTGAGATGTTTTAAGAGTTTCCTTCAATCCAGTTTGATTTGGTTTGTTTTTGTTTTAGGTGAATAAATATCAGCATGTGAAAGTCTCCTCACCACTACTTTTGTTGATTTATTTTAAAATATATCATTCCAAAATAGGCAGCTCCACAGCACGCCTGCAGCTTAAGAAGCACAGGGAAAACACTAGTGTAGTACCATGTTCCCCATCTGGAGTACAGGACCTGCTGGCTCCTGGGAAACCCCTCCTTTCCTTTCTTTACCAGCTATCCAGCATCCCTGAGTAGCTCAGCCTGGCCTGCTTTCCGGCAATGTCCTTCTGTAGGGGGGTTCTCTCACCATGTCACCCTTTGAGTCCACCCCATTTACATAGGCTGAGTGCTACTGGTGGAGGGCAGTGTCGTTGAGGGCTAGACCTCTTCTGGGAAACTCACACTGGAGGGAGCTGCATGCCCCTCAATCCTGCTACAGCTCCTGGAACCATGGCCCTGGACTGGTTCCAGCAGCTTCCTCTGGTTGCTCTGATCCTCCCAGGACTTTCTCCTGTGAAACGCCAGCTCAGATCTTTGCCCGTTCATAAGCAGTAGGCTGTCTCTCAGGCACACTGGCCAGACTTTAAGTGCTCAGTCACACTGGTGACTGATGGCTTGTGCAGGGACCTACTGCTGGACAGCAACCTTAGCACTCAAAGTCCCAATGAATGATGTATCTCTGTACAGTTGTTCTGCAACAAACCTTGCAATCATCCACTATGACCATCTTCTAACTCTGCAGGTTGTCTTCTCCATCTCTTTATGGTAACACAATTGATTTTAACCTTGTCCAATTCATCCACATTTCCCTTTCTGCTTGCTTCTGTGGAGCGCCTGGTGACTTCAGAAACCTATCCCATCTCCAAAGGCGATGACTTTCATCTGAGGTTTTCCACAGGCACGAGGTGTCTGATTCTCTCACTGGGACCTCACACGCCTGCAACTGAGCCATGTGTCTGGTGTCGTGCTTCACATAGGGCAGGGGGCAGGGTGAGAAGTTGTGTGGTTGTATCAATTCTTAAATATAGGTAAGTGTCTGTTAAGATTTTATGACATGACAGAAGAATGACTCAGCTTTCCCTAATCATTTTGTTGTTGTTGTCGTTGATAACACAATACCTTTATTTTTTAATTTTATTTTTTGTAGTGCTAAGGATCGAAACCAGTGTCTTGCATGTGCTAGGCTGGGGAAACTAGGGGGAGGTATGAGAATGTCCATGAGGTGATACTTCTGCTGAAACCAGAATGACAAGAGGAAGCAGCCATGATCAATTGGGGAAGAAATGCTATGAAGAAGACTCAGCCATGAAGAGACTGGACAGAAAGTGCCTTGTTCAGGGTGGGATGTTGGAAAGAAGGCCAATGTGGCTTTAGAGAGACTAAACCAAGATGGGAGTGGGAGGGAGACCCAGGGCCTAGTCACCACACTAGTTGTCCACTGCTGTGGGGCACCATCCAACTAGCTCACTGCTGACAGCCACAGACAATGATGATGTCACCATTTCTGAGCAATGAGATCCACATCAGCTCAGGTGGTGCCTGTGTCTCTAGGTCTATCAGGACTGAAGCTGTGGTTTCCTGGAGGATCAGCTGGGAGAATCTACCTCTGACCTCATTCTTGACTTATTCGCAGCATCCAGTGTGTCTGAGCCTGAGTGTTGTTCTGTTGGGTGGATGTACATGGGTCTATTCACAGGGCTTCTCATAATGTCTCAGCTTCATTACCTACAGGGAGGATGAATGAATTGCGATGCAGAAGAAGGTGGGAGAGAGTCAAAACACAAAAGACTTTCCATAACTTGACTGTGGAAGTGATATCCCATGACCTTAGTTGATTTCTGTTTCTTAGAAGCAAGATGCAGATTTAGATCCACTTATCAGGGAGGAGGCTACAGGTCTTGGGCACCAAGATCCTGTGCTGCTTTGCGTGGGCTCTCTTCATCCAGCCAGGAGGTCCACGGAACAGGGTAGAGGAGAGTGTTGCTGCGAGTTGCTAATCAAGACCTCCGGAGACTAAGCAGGAAGCAGGTCTGATTTTATTGTGCAGTTACCATGTTTATATACTCAGGCAGTAGCTAGACAGATTATAGACAGCCACCAATACAACTTCTGTTTAACTGTCCTTGCAGCGACCAATCAAGGATCGGGCCGTGGAGCAAGCAAAGGGATTGCTACACACGGCCTCATGCCCAGGGCTGTACCTGTGAGGTAAGCAGTTTGCCACTCAGACGCCCTTAACATAAGCCATGTATGCAGTATTCCATGCACTTGTCCCCACACTGCTTGAGAGCTATTGTGGGGTGCCCAAATTATACAATGTGACAATTGGGACAATTCTAAATCTCACAGGAAGCCATTGGCAGGTCTATGGCAGAAGGAGACTCTGAAAATCAGTCACTTAACCTCCAGTGGTACAGAGTGGGAAATATGCCAAAAGGAGAAGTGACTTTCCCTATCTCCCTATGGGACTCAGATCTGGATAGAGGTGTGTGTCATTCCTTGTCACTCCCTTTCCTGTGATTGTGCATTTGTATGTTTGTGCACTACTGGCATGTGACTCCAGCATTAGATTTCTACAGGTAGTACAGGAAAATGTAGGCACATATGCCTGATGACAATCTCGAAAGCAGATGCTAGAATTATCCCTGGGGAACATGTTGGGAAGCTAGGGAGTCCCTGGAGGCACAATGACTTCTCCAGTGTCACATACCTGACCAGAAGGAGAGGTTGGTCTGAACCCAACTCTGTCTTCCAAGCCTAAGGTGTTGGATACATTCTGGCATGCCTGGGGACAGTGAGCCAGAGTGTGTTGGTATAACTGTGTTCACTTGTGCATATGGCATGGGGAGAGGGGAGAAGTCAGCATCCAAGGAGCCCTTTGGGACCATCTTGTGTGAGGAATGGGCTCAAGGTAAGCAGACTGCAAGGAAGCAAACTCACTTCCTTGGTAATGGACAAACAGAAACCGGAACCCTGGTAGCCAGGCACTCGCAGTCCAGAGACAAACTCAATCTGCTCACTTGTGTAGAGACAGCATTTCCCTCATGAGTTCTTGTTATCTACCGATCTGTGGATGCTCAGGCCTCAGGAAAGACCTAAGTAAGGGGCCTTTCCCAAGTGTGGAGGCACCAGGTCAGTGATCAGCCCCAATGCCTCTAGCTGTTTTCCCCAAGAACACCAGGAGTGAACACAGAGCAACTCATGGATAACCCCAGATCTTCCCAAAGTTTGTGTGTGTGTGTGTTTCATATGAATATGAAAATATAGAGAAAAATTTTCTTGTGTTACTTTCACTTACTGTATGGCAGTGAGTCATTTGCAGTTTTGCTACTGTTTCCATGTTTGAATTGTCCCTCTTTGGTCCCCCAACCTAGGGAAAAGATGAGATGTCCCATTTGTGGATGTGCCCAGCCCAGTGGGGACATTCCAAGCACATGTCTTGGAGAAGCTCTTGAAGAGCCTGGTTCCTCCCTGCAGAGTGGGAACACCTCCTACTTCCACAAATTTTTGCACACCTACGAAAGATTGGCCAGTACCAGGAGGTGCTAGAGCTGCTGTGTAAAAGGTGCATACTACCTCCAAGCCCAAGAACATGGCCATCTCCTGGCTTAGTATAAGGAATGAACTGCATCACTCTTAATTGAATTAGTTCTGTGTAAACTATGATTTTTAGAGGAGCACACTCCCTGGGTGTTTAGAGAACCAGCCCTGGGAGAGCTTGCCTCAGGCCTGGCCCATGGAGTAGCCTGTCTGTGGGCTTCTCCTATGGGCCTGTCACTTTCCCCATGAAGAAGTTCTCTG